CTAAGCTATTTAATAGTTTTATCAATGACCTGGAAGAAAACATAAAATAATCACTGATAAATTTTGCATCAGACACAAAAATTCGGGGAGTGCTAAATAATGAAAAGGACAGGTCGCTGATTCAGAGTGATTTGGATTGGTAAGATGGGTGCAAGCAAATGACATTTATTTTAATGTGGCTAATGTCAATGTAGACATCTATGAACAATGAATGCATGTGATACTTATAGGCTGGGGGACTCTATCCTTGGAAGCAGTGACTCTGGGGAAAAAAATGTGGGGGTTGTGGAGGTTAATCAGCTGAACATGAGCTCCCCTATAGCCAAAAGGGCAAAGGCAGTCTTTGGATGCATAAACAGGGGAATCCCAAGTAGAAGTAGAAAGATTATTTTACCTCTGGAGTTGGCACCACTGCTGGAATACTGCTGTTCAGTTCTCACATCCAGAATTCAAGAAGGATATTGATACGTTGGAAAGGGTTCAGAGAAGAGCCACAAGAACGATTAAAGGATTAGTAGTAGATACAAAGAGCTCAATCTATGTAAATTAACAAAGAGAATGTTAAGGGGTGACTTGATTATAGTCTAAAACAGAGGTTCTCAAACTGTGGTCCGTGGACCACCAGTGGTCCGCGAGCTCCATTCAAGTGGTCCGTGGATAGTTCCCTCTAAGGTGCACGCCTGGGCAGCCGCACACGAGAGAATGAAGGGCCACCCACCTAATTAGTGGAGCCGTGCAGGCATGGCTCCACCAATTAAGTGCCTGGACCCCCTGGAGAAGATGCACATGTAAGGTGAGGTGGTGGCCTCGGGGGGAATAGGGGGTAGGTGGAAGGGGGAAGTGGGGTGAGAAGAGGGGGTGGGGGGAATTTGGGATGTGCAGGGCTGCGGCAGCCAGAGAAAGAGGCAACTTTCTCCAGCTCCAGAGCTGCGGCTGCCGGGGAGAGATGGCCCTCCTTCCCAGCCTCAGCTCTGTGGCTGCTGTGGCGGGGGAGAGAGGGAGAGACCCCCTCCTTCCCAGCCCCAGCTCGGAGGCTGCTGCGGTGGGGGAGAGAGGGCACATCCATCACATTAGAAAGGTAAGACTATGGATATTAAAATATAAGTTGTGCGCTTTTATTTGTAGAACAAAAAAACCTTAATTATTGTTAAGGTATTTTTATATAGTGCTTTTATTCAAAGTGCTTTACAATAGTTGGCTAACGGTACAAACAACATTTGGAAAGACCCTCAGTAATTTTCAAGTGGTCTGCGGGGGGGCGGGGAGTTTGAGAACCACTGGTCTAAAATTACCTACACGGGCAACAAATATTTAATAGGCTCTTCAGTCTGGCATAGAGAGGTATAAAATGATCCAATGGCTGGAAGTTAAAGCTAGACAAATTCAGACTGGAAATAAGGTGTACATTTTGAACAGTGAGAGTAATTAACAGTGACTCTCCGTCACTGGCAATTTTTAAATCACGAGTGGATGTTTTTCAAAAAGATTCGCTCTAGGAATTATTTTGGGGCAGTTCTATGGCCTGTGTTGTACAGGAGGTTAGATTACATGATCACAATGGTCCCTTCTAGCCACGTAATCTAGAATCTATTAATTCCTGGTTGGTGTATTTATAAAGAAATATAACATACCTAAATTGAGGGGTGGACTACAATGTACTTCCTGCTTTAAGTTTTAGAAGATGTATTTAACTTCTTCCCAGGAAAAAGAGAGAGCTAGGATAGAAGAGATTGGAGATTTATTCACCAGCCAGAGATTTTGCTATACCATAACCTCTGGATTTAGGTTAGTAGATTTTCATTATATCTTTTATGGACCTAATAGGATAGGCAAAATGATAACCTGAAACTGCTCTACTCTTTTGGGTTGACAGTAATGGGGACCTGGGACCTGGAGTAATGGAGATTTCAAAACCACTTTTACAAGTTGTATCTGACAACATACATTTGCGAAAGTGCTAGAACAAACTCTGCATAATAGAATCATAGAATATCGGGGTTGGAAGGGACCTCAGGAGGTCATCTAGTCCAGCCGCCTGCTTAAAGCAGGACCAATCCCCAGACAAATTTTTGCCCCAGATCCCTAAATGGCCTCCTCAAGGATTGAACTCACAACCCTGGGTTTAGCAGGCCAATGCTCTAACCACTGAGCTATCCCTCCCCCCAAATACCAAGAGACTCCACCCTGAGTCACAACAGATAAACATCCCTGATGACTTCATATCAATTGTAAAGAAAAGCATTCATTCAGCCTACTAGTGTAAAAAACAAAAGGAGATGGAGAATATGTAAGTGAAAAGAGGTGCAGCGCAAATGAGGGTATATTGCAAAGTGATCTTTCTTCTCTGCCCCCCACCTCAAAGAGGGAAGAAAAAATATTATGTACCAGCTGCATTGGCACTAGCTGAGACTTTTGTCCCATGTTCGTTCAAAATCACTTTGACATTAGCCAGTGTGAAATATGTACTGCTAAGTAATTGCAAATTTGTACATGTTCACTCTCCTCGACATAGTGAATACAGGCCACTGTTACCATGGGTTATAGAAAATATGAAATCTTTAAGAGAACACTTTCATAATTCTCTAGACTCTCTTTTGCAGGACATTTTAAATTGTTGTAGCGCTGAATCTACCCCTCTAGAACCCAAATTATTTTATATAAAAAAGAAATAGTTTGGCCTGGGAAAAATATAGCCAATATATATTTTGGTTGAATTAAATATGTTTCAACCATATTGTTACACTGCAGAGGACCTAACCCAGAAAGTTTGGGGTTTACCTATGTATAAAATGTGAACTAGGGAATTCATCTAAGCTGTAGAGAAACCAGTTTTGCAGAAATATATCCAGAACATTAACTCTTTTTTACAAGTACATGACAATTTTAACTGATAGCAATAGTTAGTTAAATACCAGACCAGTGTAGCATGCTGGGTAGAGAGGGGTGGAGGAGAGAGAATCCTGAAAGAGACAAAAATATTATCAGGGGGGTGGGGCAGGGAATTGTGCTGACAGAGATAAATAATACACAAAGCAAGGAATGCATCTTAGTATGAGCTCCAAACTAAATTGAAACAGCCAGTGAGAATCAGTGTTAACACCTAGCATGATGTATGATCTGTTATTCATAGATTGGTTTTGTCTTTGTCCACACTAGAAAGCACTGCTGGTTTAATCATACTGGCATAGTTAAAGTAGCAAACCCACCTGGAGTGGATGCTGTTACACCAGTACATCTTACTCTGGTTAATAGGCCTGATCATAATCCTGCAATTTTGTTATACATCTGTTTAAATTCATGTACTAGATACATGAATCATTTTATTTTCTCTGTGTTTCTTTTCATGTTTCTTCCTGTCTTTATGTAGGAATATCTCTATATAATATTCCAAAAATAGTCTGTGAAATTGATCCTTATTAACGTGTGGTTCTGCTCTGCAAGTGATTATGTAAAACTCATTGTGGGGTTTGTGTCTCACTAACTACATATCAAATTTGTTATATTTACAAGTAAAATTATTGTTTTTCCTAGCTTTCAGCTGTGTGAACTCAGCCTGGGACCTGAAATTCAAGCTGGGTTCTCACCATTAGTACCAGATATTCTGCAAGCCAAATTCTGTTCTCTGTTAAACCAGTGCAACCCAATTAGGGTGACCAGATGAGAGGAAGAAAATATCGGGACATGTGGGGGGGGGGGGGGCCGGCAGAGGGGAAAACAAAAAAACAAACAAAAAAAAGGGGCGGAGTACTGCGAAATATCGGGACAAACGCCTAGATATCGGGACGTCTGGTCACCCTAAACCCAATTATCCCCAAACTCCGCCCTCATTGACACAGGAAGTTGCACAGGAGGTCATGAAGATTATATTAAAAAAAAAAAAAAAAAAAAAAAAAAGCTTGACATTAGGAGCCCAGGTTGAGTTTAATGGACTGATGGATTTAACTAATAAGCCAAACAACTTTTTACTTCTAAATATAGCAAATTTGGTATGGACCCAATAAATCTGAAGCCCCATTAAGCCAGTTGTAAAATCACTTTTATGAATAAACACTCCCTGCTTCAGAGGAAGAGGTGTATTTTGTAATCTAGAGCATGAGCTAAGCCACTGAGGTAGGCAACCTATGGCACTTTTCAGTGGCACTGACACTGCCCGGGTCCTGGCCACCAGTCCGGGGGGCTCTGCATTTTAATTTAATTTTAAATGAAGCTTCTTAAACATTTTAAAAACCTTGTTTACTTTACATACAATAGTTTAGTTATATATTATAGACTTCTAGAAAGAGACCTTCTAAAAACGTTAAAATGTATTACTGGCACGCAAAACCTTAAATTAGAGTGAATAAATAAAGACTCGGCACACCACTTCTGAAAGATTGCCGACTCCTGAGCTAAGCAAAGAGGCATACTCTATGCAGAGTTGGCATGGGAGAAAGAGAGCCAGGACCTGTAACATCTTGACATCCTCTTTAATAAGTTGTCTTCTATCAAGAGAAGGATCATGTGAAAATTAAGAACATTGGCCAAATTCTGTGAAAATTGCACATTCAGTGACTTATCATATTTAATATTAAATAATTAAATCTGCACTAAGTAGTATTTAGTATCAAAGTGTATACACTAGTCACCATTAAAAAGTTAACATTTAACTATAGCTGTAACTATTGCGGTATCTCTGTGGGTAAGTGCTGACTTTTTCTTGTGATCATTATGGAAAAGTGGCAGAATCTGGCCCTTTATGACTTAATTCTTTATACACGTTAGATTCTGAACAGGTAAGAGAAAGTGTTATACTTGTGTGATACAAGGAACACGCAGAGAATCTTGCACTAGATATGATCCCTCCATATAAACTTGAATAACTGATCCTCATATCCCTTGCACTTTTGCCTCTAAGGAAGGCTCCCAAATAGAATTATTTTTCTAGATTATATGAATTACATTAGAAACACATCTGATACGTAGGGCTAAATACCATTTCTTTTCCTGTTCTGTCTTTCCAGTCTGGTACTGTGAAACTGACAAAGCCAGTAGCTCTGTGGACCCAGCAGGATGTCTGCAAGTGGTTGAAGAAACACTGCCCTAATCAGTATCAAATCTACAGTGAGTCATTCAAACAGCATGACATAACGGGTAAAGTATGCAGTATCAGAAATATTTCACTGTTTTTGTTAAATTGCTTTTAACCCTGCCCTTAAATAGGTACAAGTATACAGTAAGAACCTTTGGTAATTAATTGTAAATTTGCAGCAGAATACACCAACTTGCCTCAACCTTAGTGAGCTGACTGTTCTCTATTGCTGAGAAAAATAGATTTGGAAGGGATTAGTCAATGGGGAAAAGGGAAGGTGGGGATGAGTGTATATATACTCTAAGAACTGGATCTTGCTAGACTGCCAATCCACATACTTGTCAACTGGAGCTGATTGAAATCTGGAATTCTCATTCTGCAGGACATTTTGAGGAGAAAAAAAAAAAAGTTTGCAAATCAGAATGAAGACTATAAATTTCAAAATATTCCATGAGCAAAATTGTGAAACTTCATTTCAACCTTATTGAAAAGTGTTATTTCAATATGGCTGAAATGTTTCTTATAGACTCAACTTGTGATATATATTATAATACAGCAAAGTCAAAACATTTAGACTATTGTATTATGTTACGTCATGCTATGATATGACATAATAGTTTAAATGTTTTGAGTTTTATGTTCTAAATCACAACTTTTCAACAATTGTATAAACTGGCTTTGAAATTGGTATATGGGGGTCATCTTCCATCTTTGGCACCACCTTGTGGCGAGGTTGGGTGACAGGGCAACTCTGCCTTAGTTTCCCTCCCTCTTTGATGGGTTGCCCACCTTCTAGCCCCATTGACCAGGTCACTGGTCATCTTTTTCCCCTCTTGCTTGTTTGGTCTCCTAAAGTATTGGACTCTGTGGCCCTAGATGAGGGATACACACTCCCTGGGCCCTTCGGGTATGGCTCAATTGTTCAAGGCCTTAATAAGCCCCTTTGCTGGGCTTCGTAGGGGAATCCAGGCCTGCCCTCCATCCTGGGTTTTAGGCCAACGACCCTGTACAAAGTGGCTGGCTCCAAGCTTTCCCAACCTCTTACTGTTTCCCTGGCCTACTTTCTACCATGCCTCTGAGTTACACCCTGTGGTCACCCCGTTTCCTGGGCAGCTTTTCTGTTGCCAAAGGCACCTGCTCTCTGTGGTTCCTCAACCTCATTGACACCCACCCCATTCTTCTGCTCTGCAGTTGTTTTATCTCTGCAACTATTGTGAGTCTCCCAATCAGCCCCAGCTGAGCAGGCAGTTTCCCCATGAACCCTTTAGGCCGATACAGCATGGGATCTGTAGACCCTGTGACAGGTATTTTAATTGGGAATTGTTGGTTTGGTAATTGGTTTTCTAATTAGTTTGGTAACTGATACTTGATTTCCTCAATTCAGGGCCATCAGAAAATTTTCAGCCAGCTCTATTGTCCACATTTCAGAACTTTTTCAGGAACAGTTCTCCAAATAAATAGAGTTTTCTGTGATGAGCAAGTTCCCAGTCACCAAAACCACCCCAATTTTAAACTGAAACTGGCTGCTTTGCATGCTTTTTTTCCAAAGATGGTTTATTTTTATGATTTTATGATTAAAAGTAATAAATGATCATTAAAATGAATGTTAATAAAAAAACTAAAATGAAAAAAATTCAATTTGAATGGGGTTAGGGCATGTGACTTGAATGGGTCCATGGGACCAAGGACTGGGCTTTGCAGCAAGGCTGGGGACTAAGGGTGGGCGGCCAGGGAGGTAGCCAGGAGCTTTACTACTCAGCTCTGCTGGCAACCTCTCTGTCTCCCCCTGTGTCCATCCAACCAATTTTAAAGACCAACAGCTGAGTCAGAGTCCCACAGATTCCCTGAAGTCCATCTGAAAGTGACTGCTCTCTAATGAACCAGAGTGGTTTGACAGAAAGCATCTGCCTCCTTAGCAGAACTGCAAGTTTTGACAATTTGGGCTTCAATTTTCACCTCTTCTGGTCCCCTTGTTACTTAAATGTATTAGGACAGGATGGTTGCAGTCTAGTTGTTAGAAATTGGGAGCTTGCAACTCCACTAGAGGCAGATGCCTCCTGTAACTTCAGAAAACAGAAGTAGCTGGTGTGTCTGAGCAGTTCCCTTAGTTGTAGTCAACAGACAACTATTAGACTATGAAGAATAAGGGGAATAACTGTGTGTTTTAATTGTAACATTTAAAATTTGGCTTGTATGAGAGGTGTTATAAAAATGTGTATGTGAAATGTGGATTTTGTGGGGACTGGGGTTGATTAGCTATGGAAACACCTACCTCACTAAGACAGAAAATAAGATAGATAAGATAAGAAAATAAGGTAAGACAAAAAATATCATATTGCCTCTATTTAAATCCATAGTATGCCCACATCTTGAATACTGCGTGCAGATGTGGTCGTCCCATCTCAAAAAAGATATATTGGAATTGGAAAAGGTTGCCCTTTTCGGAACAAAAATTATTAGGGGTATGGAACAGCTTCCATATAAGGAGAGAGTAGAAAGACTGGGATTTTTCAGCTTGGAAAAGAGACAACTAAGGGGGGATGGATAAATGTCTATAAAATCATGACTAGTGTGGAGAAGGTAAATAAGAAAGTGGTATTTACTCCTTCTCATAACACAAGAACTAGGGGTCACCAAATGAAATTAATAGGCAACAGGTGTAAAACAAACAAAATTAAGTATTTCTTCACACAAGGCACAGTCAATCTGCGGAACTCTTTTCCAGAGGATGTTGTGAAGGCCAAGACTATACCAGGGTTCAAAAAAGAACTAGATAAACTCATGGAGGATCAGTCCATCAACAGCTATTAGCCAGGATGGGCAGGGATGGTGTCCCTAGCCTCTGTTTGCCAGAAGCTGGGAATGGGCGACAGGGAATGGATCACTTGATGATTACCTGTTCTGTTCATTCCCTCTGGGGCACCTGGCATTGGCCACTGTCGGAAGGCAGGATACTGGTTATGTTCTCCCTGCCCCCAGTATGCCCCCAACCCCCGAAAAGGAGGGGTGAGTAATAACTGTCAAAGCAAAATTTCACTGATGGTGAATTTGCAAGTTTTCCGCTGCAAAAGTCGGTAATTAATTTTCTAAAATGTTACATGGAAAATTCAGTTGTTCTCTGGAGTGTTTTTGTGCCAGGTTGGGGACCTCAAGTGCAAATCCCAACTGAGCCTTAGCTACAGAGTTGCTACCAGTCCCCCATAATATGGGCATGTCCATCAATGTATATTTGTATATGTGGTTGTGTATAGATATAGTTTAAAAATAATAAAACACAGTTATAAAGATGTGGTCAGTCATCACTTTGACCACTTTACTTTTATGTTCTATTTTCTCTATCTATTGTTCTATTTGCTATTCTTTAGATTCTAAGATGATCATGGTAAGGTATATGCCTCCCTTTCGTATGCACAGCACTTCCCATCTCATGGCAGTTACCGGAAAAAAAATTGCACTAACCCCACGCTGCCTTTTTTTGGGTGCAAGCACTCCATGGGGATGTTGAAATGCAAACAAAAACCTGTCTTTATTGTACTTACACATTTACATGGGAACACATTAATTGCAGATTTTATAAAACCTTAGGCCCGACTCTCCATTGTCCATTGTCTTGTGTTGTCATTTACACCAGTGTACAGGGATTGTAAAATGCTGCTGTTCTGATTGGGTAGCCTTTTATGCCCACTTCACATTGATGTAAATCACAACACGAGGGGCAGGGCAATGGAGGAGCAGGCCTTTATTTTTATAAAATAGTCTGGCAGCATACATTTAAATACTGGGGGGGGAGGGGCTTTTCTTATTGTTACCCTTCTGTTATAGAGCCTGAACCTACACGACTGAAGACAGTAGGAGTTTTGGCTTGCATTGACTTTAAAGGGAGCAGGACTGGGTCCAGGTAAATAAAGAACAGCTATCCTTAGGAAAACCTATCAGACTGGTGGCAGCATAATAAGGAATATGCCTAAATAACTGCTTGTTAATGTGTTTTATATTTTTAAGAAACCTTCCATCATCTCTTGTTTTTTTTACACCGAGCCCCTGAAGTGTGCTAATGTATCTCTTCGGAGCAAGAATCTTTAATGCTATGATCATTAAACAAACCTCATTCTGTCAAAGTAATACACAAGAGGCACGTAAGCCCAAGTGAAATAATTTGATTTGGAGGCACTTGAAAGGACACAAGCCTTTTTTTTTTTTTTTTTTATTAAGGTTTTAAAGAAGAAATGAACAGGAGTCAATATAGTAATTTTTTTAGAGACTAGAACATATTCATATGTGCAAAAATGTACATGCTGCAAATCACCTCTTAAACGCTGTCTAATTCTATAATATCAAATAGAAGCTGGCATTAAATCTTCTATGCTGCCTTCCACTATTATAAAATACACATACAAATCTGGTTCTTAAATATGAGCAGATTTAACTTGTCCACTTGAATGCCAAATGTGAGGGGTTTATCATATCCGTGTGATCCCAAGATTAAGTAACACATTTCTGGAAGGATGGCCTTCTGGTTAAGGTACTAAACTGGAAGTCCAAGAATGCCCAGCTCTGCTTTAAACTTCACTTCTGAGCTTGGGCAAGACATTTAAGATATGTCTACACTGAAGTTAGACATCTGCGGCTGACCTGGGCTTGGGCTAAGGAGCTGTTTAATTGTGGTGTAGATGTTCGGTAGAGCCTTGTGTGGATACAAATTTATATCTATGGATGTGGATATCCGCGGGTATAAATTGGTATCCGTGGAACTGCAGGGCTGTCCCGGGAACCATACCGGCAAAAGGAGTGGAATGTGGGGCCGCCGCTCCCAGGAGCCAGTGCCCCATGCCAGCAGCTCCTCCGGCATGGCTGTACCACCCCCCCGGGCACCAGGCTCACTGGTAGCTGTCCCTGGTCGTGCTCTTGTGTTCATGTGTTGTGCACACTCCCAGACAGGAGACGCAGACAGCCTCATGCAAGGTGTAGGGGCAGGGCTGCTGGCGGTACAGCCACGCTGGAGGAGTTGCCGTCGCGGGGCGCTGGCTTCTGGGAGTGGCAACCCCATGTTCTGCTCCTTTTG